GATACATACTTTAGGTAGATTGGCTATAGTTATCCAGTGATACATACTTTAGGTAGGTTGCTATAGCTATCCAGTGATACATACTTTAGGTATGTTGGCTATAGCTATCCTGTGATACATACTTTAGGTAGGTTGGCTATAGCTATCCAGTGATACATACTTTAGGTAGGTTGGCTATAGCTATCCAATGATACATACTTTAGGTAGGTTGGCTATAGCTATCCAGTAATACATACTTTAGGTAGGTTGGCTCTAGCTATCCAGTAATACATACTTTAGGTATGTTGGCTATAGCTATCCATTGATACATACTTTAGGTAGATTGGCTATAGCTATCCAATGATACATACTTTAGGTATGTTGGCTATAGCTATCCAGTGATACCTACTTTAGGTATGTTGGCTATAGCTATCCATTGATACATACTTTAGGTAGGTTGGCTATGGCTATCCATTGATACATACTTTAGGTAGGTTGGCTATAGCTATCCAGTGATACATACTTTAGGTAGGTTGGCTATAGCTATCCAGTAATACATACTTTAGGTAGGTTGGCTATAGCTATCCATTGATACATACTTTAGGTAGGTTGGCTATAGCTATCCAGTAATGCATACTTTAGGTAGGTTGGCTATAGCTATCCATTGATACATACTTTAGGTAGGTTGGCTATGGCTATCCATTGATACATACTTTAGGTAGGTTGGCTATAGCTATCCAGTGATACATACTTTAGGTAGGTTGGCTATAGCTATCCAATGATACATACTTTAGGTAGGTTGGCTATAGCTGTCCATTGATACATACTTTAGGTAGGTTGGCTATAGCTATCCAGTAATACATACTTTAGGTAGGTTGGCTATAGCTATCCAGTGATACATACTTTAGGTAGGTTGGCTATAGCTATCCAGTGATACATACTTTAGGTATGTTGGCTATAGTTATCCAGTGATACATACTTTAGGTATGTTGGCTATAGCTATCCAGTGATACATACTTTAGGTAGGTTGGCTATAGCTATCCAATGATACATACTTTAGGTAGGTTGGCTATAGCTATCCAGTAATACATACTTTAGGTATGTTGACTATAGCTATCCAGTAATACATACTTTAGGTATGTTGGCTATAGCTATCCAGTGATACATACTTTAGGTATGTTGGCTATAGCTATCCAGTGATACATACTTTAGGTAGGTTGGCTATAGCTATCCAGTGATACATACTTTAGGTATGTTGGCTATAGCTATCCAGTGATACATACTTTAAGTAGATTGGCTATAGTTATCCAGTGATACATACTTTAGGTATGTTGGCTATAGCTATCCAGTGATACATACTTTAGGTATGTTGGCTATAGCTATCCAGTGATACATACTTTAGGTATGTTGGCTATAGCTATCCAGTGATACATACTTTAGGTAGGTTGGCTATAGCTATCCAGTGATACATACTTTAGGTATGTTGGCTATAGCTATCCAGTGATACATACTTTAGGTAGGTTGGCTATAGCTATCCAGTGATACATACTTTAGGTAGGTTGGCTATAGCTATCCAGTGATACATACTTTAGATATGTTGGCTATAGCTATCCATTGATACATACTTTAGGTAGGTTGGCTATAGCTATCCATTGATACATACTTTAGGTATGTTGGCTACAGCTATCCAGTGATACATACTTTAGGTGTGTTGGCTATAGCTATCCAGTGATACATACTTTAGGTATGTTGGCTATAGCTATCCATTGATACATACTTTAGGTAGGTTGGCTATAGCTATCCAGTGATACATACTTTAGGTAGGTTGGCTATAGCTATCCAGTGATATATACTTTAGGTAGGTTGGCTATAGCTATCCAGTGATACATACTTTAGGTATGTTGGCTATAGCTATCCAGTGATACATACTTTAGGTATGTTGGCTATAGCTATCCAGTGATACATACTTTAGGTAGGTTGGCTATAGCTATCCAGTGATACATACTTTAGGTAGGTTGGCTATAGCTATCCAGTGATACATACTTTAGGTATGTTGGCTATAGCTATCCATTGATACATACTTTAGGTAGGTTGGCTATAGCTATCCAATGATACATACTTTAGGTATGTTGGCTATAGTTATCCAGTGATACATACTTTAGGTATGTTGGCTATAGCTATCCAGTGATACATACTTTAGGTAGGTTGGCTATAGCTATCCAGTGATTTCTCGATTTCTCGATTGGTGTAATGTCCCATTTATTATTTTCTTGAATTTCGAAGCCCCATACATCTGATCCATATAATAGTATTGGTCTTATACATGTTTTGAATAGGTGTAACATTGTTTTGCAGTCAGTTTCTTTTGGCACAGAAGTCATCATTGCATATAAAGCTCTTGTGGCTTTGTCTGCCAAATTATTTCTTGTGTCGCTGAATTTACCATTCGACTGTAATGATACCCCTAGGTAGTTGTATGAAAATACACAACTAATATTTTGACCTTGATATGTAAATTTTTCAGTATTTCTCAAGTATCCTCTTTAAAATATTACAATTTTACTTTTTGACATATTCACTTGGAGTTTCCAATTTTGGCAATATTTCTCCATATAGCTATAGCTATCCAGTGATACATACTTTAGGTAGGTTGGCTATAGTTATCCAGTGACACACACTTTAGGTATGTTGGCTCTAGCTATCCAGTGATACATACTTTAGGTAGATTGGCTATAGTTATCCAGTGATACATACTTTAGGTAGGTTGGCTATAGCTATCCAGTGATACATACTTTAGGTATGTTGGCAATAGCTATCCAGTGATACATACTTTAGGTAGGTTGGCTATAGTTATCCAGTCATACATATTTTAGGCAGGTTGGCTATAGCTATCCTGTGATACATACTTTAAGTAGGTTGGCTATAGTTATCCAGTGATACATACTTTAGATAGGTTGGCTATAGCTATCCAGTGATACATACTTTAGGTATGTTGGCTATAGCTATCCAGTGATATACATACTTTAGATAGTTGGCTATAGCTATCCAATGATACATACTTTAGGTAGATGGATATAGCTATCCAGAGACACATACTTAGATAGGTAGGCTATATGCTATCCAGTGATACATACTTTAGGTATGTTGGCTATAGCTATCCAGTGATACATACTTTAGGTATGTTGGCTATAGCTATCCAGTGATACATACTTTAGGTAGGTTGGCTATAGCTATCCAGTGATACATACTTTAGGTATGTTGGCTATAGCTATCCAATGATACATACTTTAGGTAGGTTGGCTATAGCTATCCAGTGATACATACATTAGGTATGTTGGCTACATCTATCCAGCGATACATACTTTAGGTATGTTGGCTATAGCTATCCAGTGATACATACTTTAGGTATGTTGGCTATAGCTATCCAGTGATACATACTTTAGGTATGTTGGCTATAGCTATCCAGTGATACATACTTTAGGTATGTTGGCTATAGCTATCCAGTGATACATACTTTAGGTATGTTGGCTATAGCTATCCAGTGATACATACTTTAGGTATGTTGGCTATAGCTATCCAGTGATACATACTTTAGATAGGTTGGCTATAGCTATCCAGTGATACATACTTTAGATAGGTTGGCTATAGCTATCCAGTGATACATACTTTAGGTATGTTGGCTATAGCTATCCAGTGATACATACTTTAGGTAGGTTGGCTATAGCTATCCAGTGATACATACTTTAGGTAGGTTGGCTATAGCTATCCAGTGATACATACTTTAGGTAGGTTGGCTATAGCTATCCAGTGATACATACTTTAGGTAGGTTGGCTATAGCTATCCAGTGATACATACTTTAGGTAGGTTGGCTATAGCTATCCAGTGATACATACTTTAGATAGGTTGGCTATAGCTATCCAGTGATACATACTTTAGGTAGGTTGGCTATAGCTATCCAGTGATACATACTTTAGGTAGGTTGGCTATAGCTATCCAGTGATACATACTTTAGGTAGGTTGGCTATAGCTATCCAGTGATACATACTTTAGGTAGGTTGGCTATAGCTATCCAGTGATACATACTTTAGGTATGTTGGCTATAGCTATCCAGTGATACATACTTTAGGTAGGTTGGCTATAGCTATCCAGTGATACATACTTTAGGTATGTTGGCTATAGCTATCCAGTGATACATACTTTAGGTAGGTTGGCTATAGCTATCCAGTGATACATACTTTAGGTAGGTTGGCTATTGCTATCCAGTGATACATACTTTAGGTATGTTGGCTATAGCTATCCAGTGATACATATTTTAGATAAGTTGGCTATAGCTATCCAGTGATACATACTTTAGGTATGTTGGCTATAGCTATCCAATGATACATACTTTAGGTAGGTTGGCTATAGCTATCCAGTGATACATACTTTAGGTATGTTGGCTATAGCTATCCAGTGATACATACTTTAGGTATGTTGGCTATAGCTATCCAGTGATGCATACTTTAGGTAGGTTGGCTATAGCTATCCAGTGATACATACTTTAGGTATGTTGGCTATAGCTATCCAGTGATACATACTTTAGGTAGGTTGGCTATAGCTATCCAGTGATACATACTTTAGGTAGGTTGGCTATAGTTATCCAGTGATACATACTTTAGGTAGGTTGGCTATAGCTATCCAGTGATACATACTTTAGGTATGTTGGCTATAGCTATCCAGTGATACATACTTTAGGTATGTTGGCTATAGCTATCCAGTGATACATACTTTAGGTAGGTTGGCTATAGTTATCCAGTGATACATACTTTAGGTAGGTTGGCTATAGCTATCCAATGATACATACTTTAGGTATGTTGGCTATAGCTATCCAGTGATACATACTTTAGGTAGGTTGGCTATAGCTATCCAGTGATACATACTTTAAATAGGTTGGCTATAGCTATTCATAACAAATAATCCAACCTCCATCTACTCTAAAAATAGTATTCTTATGTGCAGATTTGATTTTGTGTAATTGTAGATGGATCCTGATTACAGCCCAGTAACCATGGAAACTAGAACCTTGTTTGGATTACAAATGGAACAGAAAAGAAATGATGCTATTATTGATAAAAATATGTTCACAAATATTGTGAGCAAGAACAAAGATGTAAGTATAGATGTGTACCTTCTAACAAAACTGATTTTGTAGAAATCTTAAATCAAAAAAGAATAAATTCAGTTGGGTCAGCTTGTTGACTGCATGGTAACAAAGTACTGTGAAAAAATGAATGGCTGTTGGTGACTTCTGAAGGCAAAAACTAAAATGTTATGTGTTCCCTGCTTTGCTTATGATTTTTACACTTATTTTGTTCATAAAATGTAAATTTCATTTTACCAAATTTGTTTTTTAATTCAGTGACATGTTAGCACGTCATCAGAAAAAATCCTTCTGCATCAATGACTTGTCATATCAGATAAGAGGATGTACTGATGAAAATATTGTGAAATCTAAACAAAACAGTATGATTATTGAATGTCTGCCGTGTTTTCACATGAAGTGTTGACATCGCTTGACCTTTGTTAGCGGAGCTCATCATATGCGTGATTGTCCGTCGTCGTCCGTGTCAACTTTTTACTTGTTTGACTTCTTGAAAACTACACTTCTTATTGCTTAGATACTTGGTGTATCTGTACCTTGGGCAGGCCCCTCTTAGATTTGTTCATTTCGTGATGATATCTTTAATTCTCCAATTTTGATGAATATTTTCGTCATTTTTGGTAAAAAGTGATATTTTCGTCTTGTTAAAACCCACAAGTCAGATTTCTTTGATACTACAATGTGTACATACCTTTGATGAACCTCTCTCAGATTTGCTCATTTTCATGTCTTCAGTTCTTTAATTGAAATGTGCATTGCTAACAGCGGAGCTCTCTCAGCCAAGAGGCTGCTTGTTTGTCCTGTGTTTATGGTTGATTTTACACATAACAGGTAACCTCAGAGAAAATTAGTCTATTGGAATCAATTTTGAGTCTGTCCTGCGATGTGATAGTTGATACAATTGCTGAAATTCCTTTTTATCATATTTTTTTCAAGCTTCCTGAGGCAGCTGTACGTGATCTGATAGTTGCTAGCATTGCATTGAA